TGGTTTTCACTTATGGATCAAAGAGGTGGGCAGATAGACCCACACAACCCATTTGAGGCCTTTGTGATAAGTTTAGCAGATTTTACAGATGCCAAATGTAGAAGGACACCTTAAGGATGCCTACAGTTATACCCAGAATAATCCTTTAAAAACTGTCCTTTGAAATATAGTACTCCCAGAGACAGCACATAAATATATAGGGCAAGGTTTAAAGTTTAAAATTAATTTAAGGTTAATTAAATCATGAATTTCTTGAAGGCAGGGGCTTTCATCTCCTTAGTGTTACAGAGACCCCAAATTCTGGTGCCTTATACAAAATGGAAGTTTATTCTTCCCTGTCAGACCTGGCACTGTTCTTGCTCACAGAGTCCTGAGGGACCCGTGCTCCTAGCTCACTGCTCTGCCAGCCCAAGGTCTGCAGAGACTGTTTCCACATCCCAGCAGCTGCATGCGGTGGGAGGGACCAAGAAGACGAGCACACAGTGCGTGCCCGCCAGCTTTGCAGGGGCGCAGACGCTGCATGAGAGTCACGTACACCCACGGCCTAGGACTCGGTCACGCGGTCACAGCAGCATGAGGGTTTTGAGGCAAGTGTTGGTTGTGGCAAATAAACAATTTTTCACTGTTTATTGGAAAATCAAATACTTTGTTTATTTAATTTTTTCAAGTTCATGAAACAAAGTTATTTGTGACATTTTTTCTCTCTGGGCCTGCCTGAGTTTCCTGGAATATTAAAATCATGTCAACAAAGCCAGTGGAAACCAGATGTACACAGTTGATGTGTTGTTGATGTACACAGTAAGCTGTGGGGCATGAATAATTTGGGTTCCTGGTATCTCTGTCCTTAGGACCTAGCATGAAGCACAGTACATGATAAAGTGAAATAAGTGTCTGCTGAGTAGTTATGTATTAACAGCACATGTTTATTTAGTAGGTGCTTCCTCCAGTAGGCATGTAGTAAGTGATCTACGTGCAGAACCTCAGTCCTCAGAACAGTCCAGAAGTAGCCACTGTTGTTGTCGCCACCACTTTACAGATGAGGAGACAAAGTCTTAGCTAACTTTTTATTTGCTTGTCATTTTTTCAGAACCCCTTATTTGTTAGGTATTGAACATAGAGTGGAGTTTAAAACACTGAAATCCTTGCTCCAGTAGAATCTGTGTTGACCAAATTACGTAGATATTGGCAAGCAGATGGCACTTAAGCCTCTGTAGTCAACCATAGCATCTGCAGTCTCAGCTAGTGATAATGAGGGAGTTGATGCAAATGGAGAGCCGCAAGGCTACCCTTCAGCTTCAGCATAGACCAGAGGGGTGAACCTGTGGCGCACGTGCCACAGTGGGCTGTTGGCATCATTGAAAGCTCTAGAAGATTCTCCGTCAATGACATAGATGATTGGATTGCTCTGCCTTAAGTTTTATAGTTACCTTATGAACAACAACGGAGTATTCAGTGAGGGGACTTTAAATGACCCCATAATACTGCTTTATCAAGAAGACAATTAGTCTTCCATGGTTCCCCATGATTCTGGGGAAAATGGCCATGTTCATGTCCATGTGGGTAAGATGAATTCATCTTTGTTCATCACCCAGTGCAGAGTTTGCAAATTTTGCAAAGCACTTCTCTTTGCAAACCAAATTGTTCACAAAGCTGTTGTGAACTGAGGCACCACTGTATGTGTGCTGTCTGGTTGGAATCTGTGTGCCAAAATTGAAATAGGAAAGTCAAAAAAGAAAGATGTGTTGCTGTCTTGTCGAAGTGGAGAGTTCAGAATTGCACTGGTACTGGCTTATTGTCTGAAGTCAGCCAAGTGTTAGTGTGTGCCTGCAGTTCGGGGGGAAAGATAGGGATTACAGATCAAAGATGATGTTGCCTTGAAAACAGAAGGCAAGGATTATCAGTTGGCACCACCACTTTATTGATACTTTTCCAGGTATAAAATCATCCCTTGCACCAAATTGTGATCCTCTTCTCAATGAAGAGTGTGCTAACTCAGCCATCAGGTGACTTTGCATCATCAGTGCCCTGCCCACATGGCCTAAAGTCTCACACACTACCAGTGGTCCATGTCTCTCATTCAGAAAATACACATAAAAGGAGGATGCCAGATTTAGGCGATCCAGGCTCTGGCCTTGGTTCTGTCACTGTGAGACCTGGGAGGTCTCTTGGTCTTTCATCTTCTGTGGTGTTTTTCTTCCATGAACTGTGGTGGGATTGGCTCTTGAAAGATGTGACATAAACATGTGTGAACAGGATGCTTGGAATTGTGCTCACTTGTGCATTGAACATAAGTGACTCTGGACTTTGGTGGATTAAACATGAACTTGAGCCTGAAGTGGAAATGGGCACAGAAGCATGTGCCGCCAGAACAAAAACAACTCATGAAGATGGCAGCAAGAACTGATGTGGGGTATATGAGCGTCAGTGACTTAACTGCATGCGACTTCAGACATGATGAGCTCAGTTGCACTTTGGGGCCCATTTCACGAACACTAGGTTCCTGTCTCTACTGGTAGAGTTGTGGGGTGGAGGGTAGAATGTTCCCCTGAGGAGGCTTGAGGATTGGGAGCGGGCACATCAGTCTGCCATATCAGTTCTTAAGGGCATCCATCTGGTCTCCAAGCCACTGTCCCCAGAAGGTGCTGCACATCTGAGTGGGCCTGCAAGGCCAGTGGTGCACTTCAGGCTCTGTCACTGCGTACTCATGAGGGACTGGTTAGGGCTGCAGAAAACCTCTGAGCGTGCACACCTGCCTCTTTCGGATTCCTGTTCCAGGCATTTCGTGTCTCCTACCCCCTCCCACTAGCTAGCGCTTCTATCACAAGGTATTTTAGAGCGAGGAGGAAGAATCAGCCAAGAAGAAATTAGCACCAAGGTGACTCTATACCTCCACTCCTTGCCATCCCAGGAAGACAACAGAACTGGTTATTCTGGGAACTGGCTTGGGCCTCCTGCCAGTTTTTGTTTTTATTGAGCTATAGACACCTTGGTGGTGAGAGGAGTAAGCACGGGGAGCGTAGCTGAATAGGTGATGGAACGGGAAGGCTGAATTTGCCTTCAGAACTGCTGCTGTACAAGAGGTTCTTCCCTGGTTGAACAGGGAACCAGGGAAGGGAGGGTTTGGCTGTGGCAGTGGCAGTGACAGTGGCAGCAGCAAAAGGTAGGAGGCCACTCCCTGTGCCACATCGCTCGTTGGTTTGTTAAGCACAGTGATGTGGTCCCCTGTGGGTGGGGAGCGGCCCGTCGCCCCTGTATCCCATGCAGTTTTCCTAGTGAGTGGGCTGCACTACCACAGCCATTTAGGGACAAGGGAGGGAAGCAGAAATGAAAAACCATATAAAAGCAGTGGAGTGCAGCACAGTGCAGAGTCCCTGGGTTCCGGCCCAGGCTGGAACGGATGTGGGGGAGCAAGCGGGTGGCTGCGAAGCCCTAAGCATCCCGCACCGGCCTGTGGGCCTTGTAAACACTGCACACTTAGGCTGCAGTACATTTATAAGAATGTTTCTTCAACAGTAAATTAACCTTAGCGTGCTATAACGTTTTTACTTATTTTTTAGGTTTGTTTTGTTTTGGCAGTACTAGGGATCAAAGCCAGGGCCTCAGCCCTTTTTAATTTTTATTTTGAGCCAGGGTCTCATTATTAAGTTACCCAAGCTGGCCTCAAAGCCTCTGAGTAACGGGGATTGTGGGTGTGGGCCACCACTAATCAGCAACCTCTGAATTTCCTGAGAAACCTTTGGACTCTTAAAATAACACTGAGCTTAAAACAAATATGTTCTACAACTGTACAGATTTTTTTTTTTGATATATCCTTGTTCTATAAGCTTTCTTCAGTTTTTAAATTTTCTTGTTTTTACTTTTTAAGCTTTTTTGCTCAAAAGTTAGAGGGCTGGAGGTGTGGTTAGTGGTAGAAAACTTGCCCAGTGTGCGGAGGACACTTCCATCTCACAGCCGCCAGAAAGGTCACTGCTACGCTGTCCACCCAGGCCTGCATAGGGTCAGGAGGGCCAATGTCACTGCCTCACCTCCATCTCCACGTTGTGCCCCACTGGAAGGACTTCCAGGCCGGGCCACGGGTGGAGCTATCATCCCCTACAATGGCTTCTGGAATCCCTCCTGAGGGGCTGCCTGAAGCTCTGTCTAGTTCTGTTTTTTAAAAAATCAATAGAAGGAGTACATTCTAAAATAATGATAGAGAATAAATAGCGATCTATAATAAATATGTCACTCAGTAAGGCAGCGTTTGACATCACCAAGTGTTACGTCCTGCATGATGCTGTCAGTGCTGTGCGTTGGGAGGCCCCAGTGAAGCGGTGTGTGCGCCCCACTGCTCCACAGACAGGAGCAGCGTTCTACGCTGCAGCTTCCCATGCTGCAGTGTCACTGTGTGACAGGGATTATTCAGCTTCCACGTACAGGAGCGCGGTAGTGTGCAGCCTTGTGCTGGCTGCATCCTGGTTCCCTGTGTGCTGTCGGCGAGGCCCCGTGAGGCAAAAAGGCCAGTGCTGTGACAGCTGTTTTCAGATCCTGCTCTTTCTGATCCACTGAAGCCCAGGATGCACAGAACTGATGGACAGACCTGTATCCTCCCTGGAGTGCAGCAGCCTTGGTTTTGTGTTTTTTGTGGTTTTTTTTTGTTTTGTTTTGTTTTGTTTTTTTGTGGTACCAGAGATTGAACTCAGGGCCTTGCACTTGCCAGGTAGGCGCTTATTCTGAACGATCTCCTCAGCCCCAGTTTTCTGTGGTTTACTGCACCCTGGAGTGCAGAATAGTGATGCTGGTGTGGGGGACTGGCAGGTGCATGCAAACACCTTGATCATTTGCAACCCAACCCAACACCACCCCCACCCCCACCCCCCGCCACCGCTTATCCCTCCCACTTCTTATAAGTCCAGGCAGCTTCCTCTTGACTGAGGGATTCTGCCTCCTGCTGGACACGAGACCTTTTGAGGACCTGGGTAAACAAGCGTAATGTTTTTTTTTTTTTTTGCCTTCTCCAGATGGATCTGTCTGTAGAAACCCTCTTTAGCTTCATGCAGGAGCGCCAGAAAAGGTATGCCAAATATGCCGAGCAGATCCAGAAAGTCAACGAGATGTCAGCTATCCTGCGCCGCATCCAGATGGGCATCGACCAAACGGTGCCACTGATGGAGCGGCTCAACAGCCTGCTGCCTGAGGCCGAGCGCCTTGAGCCTTTCAGCATGAAGCCTGTGTAGCGCTGAGGTCCGGTGCTGGCATGGAGGGCCCCAAGCTGGCCCGGGCTGAGTGCGCCTGAAGCAGGCAGAGGAGTGGGGCCTCCCTGCGGGCCGAAGCCGCCGTCACAGGGTGCCTGGACCTGGGGACAGCAAGCCGCATTGGTCTCAGTGACAACCGAAACTCTGAAACTGGACCTCAGAACCCTGCATGGATAGTTCTCTTTATTTTGCCCACGTTTTTTATTTGAGTGTGTGTACAGTCCTAGGTACTGCAGTGAAACGTGGAAAGAAGGGAGAAAATGTCAACAGCTGTGTGCCCTCCGTGCCCTTGTGAAATTTTACTCAGGCCCCCAGGGTTATGAATTGTAAACATAAAAAACTAAGGTGACCGAGGTCTGTGTGCTGTTACTGTTCCCACCCCAATCGTTCTGCCACATCCAGTCCTTGCCTAGCCATCCTCCTCCCATGCTGTGTCAGCTGCCATGTTAAAGGGATCCCACCTAAGTCACCAGAAGAAAGCAGAGATGCCCTCTCCGCCCTCCAGACCCCCTGTTGGGCAGCCCATTTATGACTGGTTTCCTCTGTGCAGAGACTGGAGCGGGAGCATCCTTGAGTACACACTTGCTATCACCAGGCCAGGGAGTGTGTGCGGGACACTGGGACCCTTCGGGGACTCACTGACATGCCAGCGTGTGGTGCCAGCATAGCCAAGATAGCCTGGCCTCATTTCGGAAGAGAGAAACTAACGTGCAAAGTGCTATGAACTTCCGTGGAAGTTTGGGAAGAGCAGCGGGCTGACACCCAGAGCACTCACTTCAGTGCCAGCAAGGCCACTGCTGCTGTCACCGAGAAGATACAGGGCTGGGATAGACGAGGCCTCTGCCTGCTACCTCGGGCCCGGCCGGCATCTCAGAAATCACCTCGGTGTATCTAGCTCAGCTGAACTTTATGTGATTCTAATCTGATACTATCCTATAAGACTCCTAGAACCCAGAATAATATGTAGGACAGAAAACTAGTTGACAGAGTGAGCATGACCCAGGCGTGGTGGCACTGCCTATAATCCCAGACTCAGGAGGCAGAGACCGGAGGATCAGCAGGAGTTTAAGGCCAGCCTGGGCTACATAGCAAGTACCTGTGTCCAAAAAATAAATAAAAATGGAGAAAAAAAAAAAAAGCATGAGTGTTCAGACTACATGGGAAAAAAGTTAATTCAGGCATAGGAAATAATTAATAGCTTCTAGTATTTTTTTTTTCCCCTTTCTCCCTCTTTTTTCTTTACCCTTTTTGTTTTTGCAGCACTCACATTAAACCCAGGGCCTTCACAGTGAGCCAGACCTCTCTCTTGCTTTATTTTGAGCTAAGACCTCACTGAATTGCCCAGACTGGACGCAGATTTGCAGTCCTCTTGCCTCAGCTTCCTAGAATGCTGGGATTATAGACATGCCTGCCTAACTTCTAGTACTTTCTATTGACCAAAAGTAAAAAACCAGGATAGTTTATTTCCTTTGATAAAGTGCTTTTTTTTTTTTTTTTTTTTTTGCGGAACCGGGGATTGAACTCAGGCCCTTGTGCTTGCCAGGGAAGTGCTTATTCTACTGAGCCATCTCCCTGGCGCTTTCCCTTGAACTAGAAAGACAAGTTTGGAAACTAGAGCCAAGGGAAAGGGCCCAAGGAAGCATCTGCAGGAGCAGGCTTTGATCCTTCCCCCTTCCCTTTGCCTTCCCTTCCCACAGGAAGGCAGGGAGCTGTCAGGCTGAGGAGGTAAGTCAGGTCTGTGGTGTGCACAACTGGAGTGGGGAGCGTGGGGAGCTGCTCTCTCTTGGCCCACTGGTGAAAACAGCTCATACTCAATTCTTTCTGGCCATCAGAATTTTACTGGATCTTTTAACCATTTCTTTAATAATTAGAAGGTGCTAATCAAAAAGATGCTCTGTAACTTAGAACCCTATGAAATTGCTAGGGTTACCCTAGGAAATGTTAGGGGGAGACAGGGATGGCTACTTGTACTAATGGCGCATTTTCCCTCTAGTGATTTGCAGTATCCCATCATGTTGTTGAGGGTTAAGCATCAGCTGTATTCTAATCCACTGATCTTTTCCATACTGCCTCATGCTGTTGCTTTTGTATTGTTTTAATAATTTGACAATACTGTATATTTCAATATTTGAAATGGCTAGATTAGGTCTCACTGTATGTCCTTTTTTAAATTCCCGACCTGCACAAACTGAATGTAACACTCCCTTCATGTAGTCTGATAGGTGGGTTTTTGTTTTTGGTACTGGTGATTGAACTCAGGACCTTGTGCTTGCTAGGCAGGTGTTCATGCCGCTGAGCTATCACCCCAGCCCTGTTTTTGTTTTTTGCCTTTTAAAAAATATTTTAAAACAGGGAGGGTCTTGTTAAGTTGCCCAGGTTGGACTTGAACATGCCGTCCCTCTTGCCTCAGCCTTCCAGAGTCTGGGATTTCAGGTAAGTGCCACTAGGCCTAGCCAAGAGGTGACATTTTATTTTTTTATTTTTATTCTTGACATAACTGAGGATTGAACTCGGACCCTTAGGCTTGCCAGCGAAGCACTTATTCCACTGAGCCATCTCACCGGCTTATTTTATGTTGATGCAGGGTCTGGTTAGGCAGTTTGTACTCATAGTGATTCTTCTGTCTCAATGTCCCTAGTGCTGGGATTACAGACATGCGCCACGATTCCCAGTTTTGGTGGCTGGTACTGCGTGCCCAGGGTTCTGGGGATTGAACCTGGGTCCTTGCGCTTAGCAGACAGATTTCTTAGGCTGCTGAGCTATCTACCCAGCCAAGAGGTGGCATTTTAAAGCCATCACTATCACTTTTTTTTTTTTTTAATGTTTAGAACCCACAAGAACATCCTTGTAGCCTTCCAAGTAGAAACAGCTGATTGTCTACAGAGCTATAAAAACCATGAGCCTTACTGCACTCAGTGTAACTCACAGAATCACAAACAGTTGCAGAGGAAGGCTGTGAATGAGGCTTCCTCACGGGGTTGGCACTTCACGGTTCAGCCAGGCAGCAAGGCCTGCCCAGCCTGCTGTGAAAACACTGAACCAGCCCGCTCTTTTTCTTCTTACAAAACACTGTATTAAGATTTGGGTCCAGCCAGTTGGAGCCTCCCCCAGAGTAGTTTGGATCTGACACTAAAATTAGACCAACTTTTCGAAGGGGGACACTGGGAAGGTGTAGATTTCAGCAGATGGGTAGATGATAGTCTACTTATTACTGGATGGAAGCAGGGAAGAACAGGAGGCAAGTCATTGTTTGGTGAGAATGCATGTTAACCTGCGTGTGGTGGTTTTGCAGTGTTGTCATCTTGGCCAAAGGGAACTGTTGCCCACAAATCCATTCTGCATTTCTTTCTGGTGAGGGCTGGCTGCAGGAGAAATTGTGGATTGGAGGACAGCAGGAGCTGTCTACAGGTCAGGCCCTGTGCTATCCCATGCGTATTTTCTGGGCTCTTCTGCTCCTTGCTGTGGGCAGTGGCTGGACCCCAGCCCCTCCAGGTGCCCCGAGCCCTGCCTTTGGTGTTTCTAAGAGGCCGGCATGGGTTCTGGTGAAAGCTGAACACGACTCCGGCAACGATAGGTGCAGGTCTCAGCTGTCCTCCCGAGCACCCACCCAACCTTCCTGCCCACCACCTGCCAGCCCAGATGCCCCTGTCACTGCTGCTCAGCAGTTCCCTCAGACACACCCATGTACTGCACCATTCCTAGTTGACTGAGCCCTGTGTGGTGATGTGGCATCACCAGCCCTTTCCCTTTTCCTTAATTTTTGCCAGTGAATCCTGAGAGTCGTAACACCTGGCATTGCAAGAGACACTTAGCAGATCTTGTTCTTGGTTAATACCAGATCACTGTAGGAATTCTCAGTGTGGAAGTCCAGCCTTCATTCCCTACTAGCCATTGTCTCAGAGCCTTGGTTTGGATCTTTGGTGCCTTTTAGAGGCCCATGGTGCTATGGGAAAGTGGGGGAACCACAGCATGCACAGCCTGGTGGAAAGGAACTAGGTCAGGGGGCGCCTTCCAAGGGGAGATGGGCCACAGCCCTGCTCCAGCTGCCATGACTGTCCTGAGGTGTTGCAAGGTCCTCATGCTAGGAGAATAACCTGATGGAATTTACAGGTGACCCAAATAATTTTTCTTTACCAGTCAAGGTGCATTCCTTGAGGCATGATGTATGCTAAACTTCTGAACCATGTACTTGTAATTCAGACTTTGAAACTGTCATAGCTTCCTGACCAGAGGCAGCCTACAGCATGGCTGAGCTAACCCTCTCCAACTCACACTGTGTGCCCAGGACACATTTTGCGTGGGACAGTATTTTTAAAAAACTGATTCTGATGTTTTTGTCTATTACCAAAAGAAACTTTTTACATAAACACAAACTGCAAGGATATGACTGATTTATAAATCTCTCAAGACAGTGTTAATTTCCCAGTTAATTTCACAACACTAAAGATAAAAACAAGTAGAACTCTGTTTTACAAGGCTGAATAAGCTTCTCAGAATGCTTGACATCACTTACCTCAATTTTCCATTTACAGATGTAGAAGAGTAATAAAATGCCTAGGCAAGTACTGTTTATTAGACCTAAAACATTCCTGCGTAATGTCAGAAAAAAAACCTAGACGAGTACTTAAAATAACAGTGACCATTTTGAGGCTAAAGAGTTTTCATTAACTAGTTCCAGAATATATACTCTACCATTCACATCATCTCTGGACCCTCAGGCCTCACTTTAGTTTTGCCACCTACTTTTTGGGATTTTTTCTCCCGCATCTCAGAAACCTACACCTTCCAAGTTTCCTCCTTCAATAAGTTTGTCTAATTTTAGTGTCAGATCCAGACTACTCTGGGGGATGCTCCAACTGGCTGGACAGCGAGTTTGGCCTCAGGCCTTCCCACTGTCTCACCTTGCGCAGCTCTTAACTTGCCTGCTGGTCTACCACCTTCCCTCTCTGGAATCTGAATAACCCCAAAGCCTGTCAGTTCTTCCCTCCCACCACCTGCTTTTCTCAGCATCCTGCCAAGCTGGTGCTAGTGCTAGCTTACCCAGGCTAATCCTTTTAGCTTTTAAACGTTTTAAATTCTAACTGCAGCTCAAAAGTCTCTTGCAGCCAGGTTCAGTGAGGTCACTGTGAGTTGGCTGAGAGTCCGTCTGCTTGCACTGAAGGTAAATTCATTTCCTCAAATGTTACTTGTCTGACGCTGTCATACTCAGTGTCATAAGCACAGGTTGGTCATTAAGGCATGCATGGCATGGCTGGAGAACAGATCCCTAGTATTTTCCCTTCCTAAGTTCTTCCTAGACTTATAAAATCCACAGTGTATTAAAATGTGCACGAGTATGTAGCTGGTCTTTTGCCCGCCTGTACTTGTGTGAGGAGTGCTTAGCAACACCCTAGGTCTCACAGCAGTGCACGTTTGGTGTACGCCTTAGAGGAGGCAGCAGGCATCAGCCTCCCAGCCACATACCAGATCTAATTCCACCTCTGCCTTAGTGAGCTAAATTCCCATTCACTTGAGAATAGCAGAAAGTTTCAGCACTACCACCTTTGTTTGGCAGCTTGGTCGCTGTAGTTCCCACCAAGTCTCTCAGTAAAGAGGTCCCTTCTCACATTTATGTATAAACAGGTACCAGTTTTGATTTTATTTCATCATATTAACATACATGACACACCAAAATGAGAAATGCACAATTGAACCATTCAACAGCTTGCCTTACTCCAAAGGAACACTATATTCATATTAAACATTTACACAGCCTTTCCACCTAACTTTACAAAACCATTTTCCAGCATTTCTCACCTAGAAATCTAGTTCCGTGCTGTAGAACCACCATTCAGTGTCTCTGGCTGACTCTGGGGCTGCCCTGTGACCGCACGCTGCGAGGAGCCACCGAGCTCCACAGGCCACCCAGGACTTCCCCAAGGCTGCTCTTCTGCATGGTGCTCTTGATTCCAGCTAATTACATGACATTAAAGATCAAGGACTGATGGTTGTAGTGTGTGACATCACAGTTACAGGAAGGAAGGGGACTGTGGCCAAGAGAAACCCTAAATGACACAGGCAAGCCTTTCCTCCCATGATCTTGTTAGAACCCGCCTAGTTCTCCAGAAACAGCCTTTAAAATGGAGCTCCTGGTTTCATTTCTTAAAAATGTTTGATAGATGTGACCAGATACACATTAGCTGTATACATGACACATCAAAATTACCACGTGAAATCTTGAGAATGCTTGATTACATAAAAAGTGTACATAGAAAAATCAGGTCATTTAACAGAACTTTTTCAGTATGACAGCATGCTCCCCATGCAACTTACACTCGCCTTTGTTTTACATCCACACACTGCCAGTTATGTCTGTGAAGCCCATGACCCGCATGATCCAGCTAGTCACCTGCGAATCATGTCCTATGCTGGTTTTACAGTCACCATGGGAAACATGAAGTCACATCCTAGTCAAAGGACAATCCATTTCTCAAACAGAAAAACCTGAGATATGATTCAGCAACTAGCTATACTTACAGTAAAGAGCAATGACAACACCTGCCCCATTTCCTCATCTCCCAAAAAGCTGCTGCTGAGAATTAAGGCTTCAGAAGAGGACCTTACCATAGCTGGTAAGACATGAGCCAGGAAGGTGAAAGACAGGTGCGCACCGTTGCTTGTGTACTGTTCTAATTCCCTCCTGTCTTCAGCTGCCAGGACGGATTCTGACTGGAGGTCAAGGACTCAGAGACCACCTTGTCTCTGATACAGAAACCACCAGGGTCTGGTTTTTGAAAATATCTGGCTCTGACCTTCCACTCTGTGTATAACTGAACAAAATTCAGCAGCCTCCTCATCTTCCATCATTCTGAATATGCTTTGTTTCCTAAAATTTTTCTTAGCTATATTAGTGAATTTGAAAGTGAAGGAATTATAAAAATACCACCTTCATCTCATGCCAGGGGGAAAGGCCATCAAGGAAGTGTTTTGTGCATCTCAGTAATTTTTACCCTCCTTAATCTCTGTAGTTTTCTCACTAGGTGGTTTCCTATAAAATTCTGCTTTTTTACACTTTTACAAACTGTATCCATTGCAGTGAAACAAATGGAAAACAAATTTTTGGCTGAGAACATGAGGGTTCTGCCACTGTTACCAACTCAAATTCACATTGGCTTGAAACCAAGTCAATCTTCAATTACATTAACAATCCCGTTTAAAACAACTCTGATTTATAGAGGGAGGTTAGAGACATGGTTAGCCTCCCAACTTTAGCTTAAATTATGTTGCCAGGTTCCTGGCTAAGTTAAATCCTAGGTAATTGCCCTTTTCTCTTTTAAAGCTGGGAAGAGGGGAAAAAATATGAACTTGATTGAGGCCTACCTGGAATTCTGAAAATCAACTCGCTACCTACCTATTCACAATGCCTAGAAAATGGGCTCCCAGACATGGTAGTGGTGAAAGCCCCAACTGTCCTGTCTGAGGTACTAGGTTAGTTCTAAAGTAGATCCGGGCAAGGCCCCTAATGGTCTGTCCAGCAGAATGCTGTGCGCATCACTCGGCTGGCTGCTGAGCTTGGGCTCGTCCATCAGCTTTGGCTAGGATCCTTTTTTTTTTTTAATCAGGCTCAGTCCCTAAGAGGATGCACTTGACCCACAGCTGGCTCAGTCTCAGCACTAAGGTGCACTATGGAAGGGACTGGACAAAGGTCAGTGAGTGTTGGAGATCTCTGCAGCATGACGTGACAGGGATAGAGGATTGTGTCCTCTAAAACCAAATATGCTTGTTTCTATAGGAATGAGAAGAGGTGCACTTCCTGAACAGAACTGTGTACTCTGGGTGGGGAGTTCTGGCCTGCGCCCTTCCACTTCTGTTGAAATACCAGCTGGTCTCCCAAATGCAGACACGGAGAGAACTACTGTGTTGATGCATCTTTTGCTTTTACACCAGAGCTCCATTTTCCAAAAATATATATGTATATACACATACATATTTCAGATTTACAGGGAACATTTTTTGTGACTAGGAAACACTGGCAACAACAGTCACAAGTGTCCTCTTCAGGAGACCTCAATGATTTCCATGCTGCCTGAAAAGCTAGACTGACTCCCCACCTTGCCCAGCTCTTCCCGAGACCTGTTCTCTGACATGATGCTCTCACCAAATTCCATCTGGCAGCTCCTGCGCTTAAACTGCTTCTCAAAGGGACTCTCTTCATGCCAGCTCCGCCGAGAGTCAGCCCTGTCCCCAGGCTTCTGCCGCCTGCGCACAGAGTAGACTTGGTCACTACAAGTGGGCAGCTGGCTGCAGCTGTAGGCAGAGTAGCTGGCACTGCCTCCGTAGATGGCTGAAGCAGAATAGAAGTGAGAGCACTCTGTGGCAAAATACCAGCTGTTGGTCAAGGAGGGGTTCGAGGTTGGGGGAGACAAGCTGTCTGAGTGCCAGCCCTTGAGGCCCAGCCCCACAGCAGACTTGGTGAGGTGCTGCTGGCTGGTGGAAAGGCCAAAGAGGAAGTTGGTGTGGTAATTGTCCTCCACGCTCCCACTCCGCTGCAGTGGAGCCAAGAGGGGTCTCTGGGGGGCGCCGCTGCTGCTGGTTCTTACTGTGTGCAGTCGCTTGCTCTGGCCCTCCACAGGCCTGACGGGCTGTGCCTTCTTGGGGATGTGGGCTTCCTCCTTATCTGGGGTGGTTTCCGGAGTCTGCTCTGACACTTCCTGAACTGGGGAGAACTGGCAGAGCTTGTTGGTCCCATCCAGGGCAGCGGATGGTTTGTAGTATTCCAGAGCATCTTCTGATGAGAAGCCGTGTAAGGATGCTGCCATGCTGGCCGAATATGAAACCGACTTAATATCCAGAGAGAAGGAACGCTTGAGCTTATTGCTGTCTTCCAGCTTGTCTGAGGACAGGTGGAGCCCATTGAGTGCCTGTACCAGTGGACTGTCCTCCAACAGTGATGGCTGCACGCTGGGCACACTGGCAGGATGCAGAGGCTTTTGCCCTACTGCCTCTGAGGTAGCAGAGTTGGCACAGCGTGGATTGAGAGACATCTCGTTATGTCCCTCTTCTGAGACTACAGGGACAGGGTCATTTGACTTTTCCAGGTGTAGCAGCTTGAGTTTGCTCTTTGGCCCTGACGTTCCAGTCTGCTTCTTGATCTTCTTCTCATAGTCTAGGAGTTGGCCCAGAAAATTGAAGTTTGGAGATATAGTAGGTCTTTTTTCTTTCACAAATCTGTGAAGAAAGGAAAAAACAAAAACTGATTTTCCTACTACGCTTTATCTTAAGAATATTAAGTGAATAAATGGAACATGACCAGTTACAAGTTCAGGGAGGCCCCTCTGGAATGCAGGGAGCTGTCACATTCCTGGCACATGCTAGAGGGAGGGCACCAGTCCCGAGCTCCAGCATTAGCTGCTTAAGTCTCAAGGCCCTCTGGGTCTCAGTGAAGCTGATAGGAGCGTCACTGCTCACCACCAAGGACGTGTGTGCATGCCCCAGGGCTGCGGTCCAAAGGGACGCGCATCAGTCACTGGCTAGGTTCCATTTTCTAATATCCCCCTTCGATGTCTCTAGTCACATTATGATATTCCACATGTTAAATTGACACAAAAGATGGTATCAGATGGTCAAAGTCTCAAAGTACCTAATTTTGACTTGCTTTCTTTGTCCTTAACATGACAGAATAAGCAGCTGCACAGTATGTGTGGATGCCAAGCACCCTACTAACGCACGGAATTCGTGGTTCAGTCGTCACACCTACTCTGTCTCAGACGATTGTTACTCTCACACAGGCACAGAGTCCTTAGGCAGACTTGTCCAAAGTCACAGTGCTAGTAAATGACGATGCTGGTGTCAAAGCCCAGTCTGTCCATGAGTCTAATTTTGTCATTACCATGTTAGAGAGATTCATCAAGAGATCAAAACCAGTGATGGATTGTAACAACCACTCAGATGTCAGACAAATTCTTCAGTGGTGCCTGAAACTTGTGGATATTTGTCAAATGGAAGAGGAGTTAAATTACACTGAAATTTGCATTTGAACAGGGAATGGGAAGAACTAAAAATAAATTTCAAGTAACCTACATCAAATGAAGCCAAAAATCACTAGTTCTCCTGTACCAAGTACAACATACGGTGTGATGAGAAGACGCCCTCATACACTGTGAAGGTGACAGCGCTTCTTCTGACAATGCGAAGGCAGGGAGTTTCGAGGACAGAGCTACAGCAAGGAAGCAAGCGCAGATACAGCAGCCACCTACCCTCCAGGTCTTTCCTCTGATAACAAGCCATAGAGGAAGCTCACTTCTTTTTCTCATGTTATAATTTGAGAAGTCCAACTGCTAACACAGGCCTGCTCCATGCAAAGTTTACTGCATGCACACTAGCCATTTCAACTCAACAAGTGATGCCCACCTTCACAGTCACCAAGCAAACTCCAGGCCTGAGCAGCACAGCCACCTGTCTGCTTTCCCTTTTGAGAAACCTGGTCAAAGCAACACTGCAAGATCTGGCCAACTGCAGAATGTAGGAAATTTTTCTCAAGAGTTTGATGGTTAATTTTATTCTTGTATGTATTTGACTTTTTCCTCACAGAGATATGAAATCTGAGCAGACTGGATTCATAAGAGACATTCTTTTTTGAGGGCAGAACCAGGGATTGAACTCAGGCCCTTGCACTTGCCAGGCAAGCACTTACTCTACTGAGCCATCTCCCCAGCCCCTGTAAGAAACACTCTACTGGGGCTTTTTTCTCTCGTATGTAAATTAGAACTATCAATACTTCTCCTAGCTCCCTCGCTAGGAGACAAATCTCTGCCTAGAACTTAAGTGAAGAATGACTATGACATGTTAGGGCAGAGTGAAAGCTACTTATTAAAACTGCACTCTTTTCCAGCCTTGGCAGGACCATTTAATCCAACATCCATAGTAACCTGTAAAGAATGTGATAGAAATAATCGTGATCTGCTTTAATCTGTGACCAACACCAAGGCTCTTCATTATTCAGGGCAAATGAAAGGACAAGTACTCAGCCGTGTTTCTGTCCTCACCTGTAAGCCTCGTCTAGAGACATGTCCATCCTCTTCATGATGTAGGCGATAGCAATGGTGGCAGAGCGGGAGATCCCAGCTAAGCAGTGGACTAGAACACATCCATTGGAGGCTTTTGCTTTCTCTGCATGAGTGAAATTCAAGAAAGGGCACTGGTAAAAACTGTTCGGCAGTGCAATCTTGTTTCTTTCCATTTACCCAGTGTCTGCCCCTACAGCATAGTTACCCTTCTCCGTCCCGAGGAGGGCAGGGAAGGGCACTTCCTCTCCATTGGTATACACGGACAGTAAGGTCTAAACATGGCATTACTAACTCAGGTTGTCTGTTTCTTATTTCAGTACTTAAATCATTTTATTTATTTTCTGTACTTTAGTACAGGGTCACAGGGTCTCAATACGTAGATTAGACTCATGATCCACCTCTGTTCAGCCTCCCAAGAGCTGAGATCACAGGTGCGTGCCACCACACCCAGTTTCAGTTGCCATCTCAGCACACCCTGCGGGAGGGGCAGGCATGGCACGTGGGGGATCAAACCCTGGCTGCTGAGTCTGCGTAAGCAGGTACTTTAATCCGCTGAGCTATTTGGCTGGCCCTTGTTTATATATTTTAATAAAATGCAAGAGGTATAAATCCTATATGACATGGTTCTGCTTGCTTGGTGTAGAAAATTTCTTAAATACAGAAAAGTGTACAGTACAAATGAAATAACCATCCGAAGGTCTATACCTAAGACATAGCTAATAATGTTTCCTCATGTTATCTGACACTTGGAGTTTTTCCCCATTTAAAAAATCTATTTTCATTTCAAATATATGTAAATACATATAATATATATTGCTATTTAGAAACAAAGGAGAGTGGAAGGGGAAGTGACTGAATCACAGATGACATCACAGCAGAACACGAAGGGCATCAGCCTTCTTTCCTAACCTTGAGGATTGAACCCAGGGTCTCAAGCATGAGTGCACCACTGAGCCACACACCCTTACTTTTAAAAGACTGAAATTCATACAAGCTGTATTTATATGAGCTGGGTTGTTTGCTTTTAGGAAACTTTTCTGTATGTCATAAAGTGGCTCAGCTTGCTAAATTCAAGAAAAACCATGTATGCATCAGGGGTCCGGGTTACTAAGTTACTCTAGTACTAAGAGGCCTTTTAACCCCCCGACACTCCGAAGTTGTGCTATTATATAATCTGAATTCACTGTAACACAGTAGAAAGAGTCACAGATGCTTTGTTAGGACCAAAACACCTGGGAGATTCCGAGGGCCCTGCCATCTCGTCCTTCCTGTGGGAGCAGATGAACCAACAGAGCAGACTGGGAGCACTCACAGCGGGCAGCGCTCGGCGTCTCCACTCCTGGTTACGTGTGTGCTCAGCCATAAAGCTGCTGCCGTGCAGCTACCACCTCTCTCCTCCATCTTCCTTCTCTCTCTCTCTCTCTCTCTCTCTTCTTTTTTAGTACTGGACCCAAGGCCTTTCCACTGAGCTTTTCCCCAGCCCTTTATTTTCAGACAAGGTCTGGCTCAATTATCTAGGCTGGACCTGAATTTGCAGTCTTCCTGCCTTACCCTCCCGGAGTGCTGTGATTACAGTTCATTCTTACTTTTTCATTCTTCTCTTAACTGGTGCTACCAAGAGTTTTATCAAAACTTACATTAAATTCTTAAAATTAACAAGTATGCAAGGAATCTGCAGCTCTTGCAGCTAAATAATACAAGACTACTCCAACCCCACTGCCTGTTATAAATAGTACAGACTTCTAGCATATGTAATATACAGTGGTGCTTCGATTCATGAACTTGATCCTTTCCAAGATTCTGGCTCAAACTGAGTTTGATAAGAATCAAATCAAAGGCCAGGCCAAATAGCTCAGCGGATTAAAGTGCCTGCAAGCAGGGGCCAAAGGTTCCTGGGGCTCGCTGACAGGGCAGCTGAGACTGGGCAGGGTGACATGTGCCTGTAATCCCAGCTCTTGGGAGGCTGTAAACAGATGGATCCCTACAAGTCTGATCTAATAGCGAGACCCCGAACACCCTGTAGACACTTCCTTAAAAATACAAAAAAAAAAAAGAAGAAAATCAAATCAAGTTTAATAGTTAGGTTCAGTGTTGACCTTATGGGGAAACTTGATTCAGTTCTTGTCCAGTTTTGTTTGCAACCAGAATCGTGGTGAGATTTGAGTTCGTGAACCAGGGCACCACTGTACTCATTGATATCTATAAAACCACCGACAAGTATGAGTAGTACATGAATGCACTTTCCTTTTAGATAGGAAAACTAAACACAATAGAACAGTACAGAAGAACACAATGCAACCCTGAAAGGCTACTGCACTACACAGAAGAACAGCATGGAAGTCGGTGTACAGTCAGTCCCTTGCCTGCACTGTCTTCCTCTCAGCTAGCCAGCACTGGCCCATACTACTCAGTACCCCCCTTCTGCGCTAGCTGCTAAGAAGCTCACAGCTAAGGGTTTCAGCTAATTTCAGTAGGAAACCGCAACTCAGTTGCTGCGGTTACTGTCCCTTTCCCAAGTTCAGCTGTCTTCATTCCATCTTAATGTACATGAATATGTGTGTCTTTTAGTCCAAACCTTTATTGTAAACTACTTCAAGAACTTATTAAAAGTAGGTTTGCTTTAAGTTTTTCCCCCAAGTATTGACCATAGTCTCTCCAAAACTGGACCATGAGGGCCCAGAATGGTCTTTTCTGGTTCTAATGTTCCTCCACAGGACTTAGTGCCAGGCTTGCAGCATGCACACAGGTCACACTGGCTGGCTGATACATACTATAAAACAGCAATCTTTATAGAAAATTTGAAAAAGGTTGGAAGGAAATAAAAATGCCAGTAACATTTTACAATATCAAGGTTATAGGTTTAGGTTATAGGTTTCTGTTTTTCAAATTTTGTGCATTGAGGGGGCCAGGGAGATGGCTCAGTAGAATAAGCACTTCCCTGGCAAGTGTAAGGGTCTGAGTTCAATCCCTGGTTCCACCAAAAAAAAAAAAAAAAAAAAAAAAAAAATTGTGCATTGTGCTTACACTGTTTTTACTTTCACAACTGTATTGACAATGTATTGTTGAGAATCAAAAAGCGCTTAGACTGGAGAGGGGCTCCTTGGCACCCTGGTTCTGGCAGGCATGAGTGCTAGGCTGAGTCAGCCTGGGTGAGAGGCCAAATGTGACCAGAAAGCCTGAGGCAGGAAGGCACGCTCCCCCGAGAGCCGTGTGGGAGACAAGGGGAGAAGGCTGCAGAGGCAGAAGCTGCCAGCGGGGCTGGGCTGAGGGCCCACGTGTATGCAGAAAGGTAAGTAAGGAGCCGCTGCAGGTTCCGAAACAGGAAGGCAGTGATGGTGTAAGGCAGTGATGGACACAGGGCAGGTGGACACGACAGAAATTCAGAGGGAAAAGACTACACACAAGCAAGAACCGAGCGAAAACAAAAGTTCCAGAGCTAAAAAGAAGGCAGTACCAACAGGTTACAGGTTACTCCTCATGACAACCCTAAAAATATTTAGTGGCTTAACATGGTGATAGTGCCTTGGTCCCAACTACACCAGAGAATCGCTTGAGCTGAAGCGTTTGAGGCCAGCCTGGCCAAGGTAGTGAGACCCCTCCATCTTAAAACAAACAAACAAACCAAAAAAACATAGTAAGAGCCAACTATAAGCCAACTACTTTGCAAGGTGTTCAATGTACAGACACTATCTACTTTAGTACCTGGTGTGGTACATCCGTATAAGGTAGGTGTGGTATCTTCAAGTTTCCAGTTCAGGAATAGGACATAGAAGTTCGAAGCACCTTGCTCTAAACCACTTAGCCAACAGCCAGGCACACAGGGCCCAAGTTCAGTTTGGCTCCAAAGTCCTTGATCTGAATGACCTCCCTACATGGCCTAGCACAAGTCATGGGTCTGGTGTGGGGGAGGCGGGCGAGGGCTTATGGAAGCCGCCAGCGGGGCAAGGAGTGCCTCACCAGGACCTCACCCCACAGCAGGTCAATAGTGACTGCTACACAGAATACTCCATGACAAGCAGAGCCCTCTGCCAAACCCACAGACTTACTAAATTTAAATAACAACATCAATTCTGTAAGCCTCCAATTGTCAAGTCCAGGTGGGGGTGCACCTTCGTGGCACACACCGGCCATGACTGCCACTGCAGGCGGCACCATGCGGAGACCACTAGCGACTGCCTGCCGGGAACAAGGAAATGTGAAAGTGTTGCTGTGTGTTATCTGAGTGGAACACAACGGTGGCTGCAGTAAATAGGACCAAGCAAGTTAAACGTGGATAAGCTGTCACAACAGGATCACATCCTCTTCCTTCTAGATAGCTTTTCAAACGGCACTGTTAGCTGAAACTAGAGCCAAATGTCTCTGGGTCAATTTGACATGCAACGAAAATATTAACCATAACTATTGCTCTTTTGAAGAGCCAAAAATGGAGTGTTATGCAGAACATATTTCCTGGAAACAACAGCGGGAAGAGTTCATATTGGAAATCTTCTTTGTGACAATTCACATAAAACAATAGTTGTTTATCTTCCGATGTTTAATGGATTGAGTTCTTGACAGTGAAAGCCCTTGGCAATCTCGAAAAGAACTTTTTCAGAATGACTTAGCACTCCAAAGGCACTGCCTAGAAATTCCTCTCAAATAAAATATAAAGCAGGGGTTTAATTATAGTTTTACTTTTTTAAAGCAACTGGTCCCTTTATTTTTAATTACAGAAATCACTTCAGTATTCGAGCATGAAATAGAGTGCTCAAACTTACATGGCTGGGGGGACCAACAGTAATTCCTCCCTCTGCCAGTGACAGTCAGCACTGGATCACCCTGCTCACGGGGGAGCTGTTTCTGCCTGTGCTCAGCCACACTCCAGTGAAAGCGCCTCAAATGCACGATGCCAGTTTCCTACCAGATATGATCCCAAGGCACCAAGGAGGCAAGAGCTCATGGCAGCACCCAGAGGCAAGAGCTCTGGCGAGCAGAGCGAAGGAAGGGACAGATCAATTGCTGATGACACCATCAAAGAGGTGACCTATGTGTATGTGTCTGTTCATGTCTGGGTTGGAATTTTATTAAACCCAAAAGAAAACTAACACGTGAATGGTGGCTCAGACTAAGTCTATGTCATAAAAAAAGACTTTAAATATAATAGGGTTTTGGTTTTTTTTTTTTTTCACAGAATTGTGACTTTTCTCTGGAAAGATTTAGCAGCAAGGCAACAGGGACCCTCAAGAAGTTTCCCTGGGCACCATATCAATGTGAAGGGGAAAGGTAGAGTTTAACTCTAGAAGCCTCACTGATTTTTCAAACACAGCACACAGTCACAGACCTGTGAGGGTTAACTTTGGAACAGTTCACAGCCAGCAGGTCACCAGGCTAGTCCCTGAGGGCTAGTGTGGCACATATGTCACCTTGACCTCTCAAAGAATCAGCTCATGTATTGTTTTCAGAGCTCTGACATTTCTGAAGCAGGTTTCTTTTCTCTAAAGACAAAAGAGGCAGGGAGAGAGGCCACACCTCTACATGACACTGTAACCAAAGACCTGGAATGCTACTTGAGCTACTTACCGATGAAATCCACTGATTTGTCCAACCATGGCAAAATTTTCTCACAAAAGCTGTCATTCACAGGCACTCGCAGGAAATGAGACTCCGGGATGAAGTCAGGCTTTGGACAGGTACTGCTGGCGTTTAGCACATAACCAATCCCATTCTGTTGCATCAGCTCCTGTGGAGGGAAAAGCAATTCAGGTGACTACAGTCATATATCCACATCACCATTTTGAAAGATTAACATTAATGTTATAAAAATTATTAGTTTCCTGGGGCTGAGGAGATAACACGGGCATCTAAGCACCTGCCTGGCAAGCGCAAGGACCTGGGTTTGATCCCTGGTACCGCACGCTGTGCTGGCCACTGAAACCGGGCGTGGAGGTGCACACCTGTGATCTCAGCACTGGAGAGACCGAGACAGTATCACTATGAGTCTGAGCTGTGTAGTGAGATCCTGTACCAAATAAATCTTTAAAAAAAAATATTAGTTTCCTTAAAATAGTCATTCACATTAGAGAAACTCCAAAACTCAGCAAAATGGTATTTAGTCTTAAATTGATAGAAAAGAAAAAGGCTGCTGAATAGTATGCCTGCAGGTCACATAATGTTAATATAGGCAGCTCCATTATCTCCACTGCTAGAGAAAGCACAAACTACAAAGTGCAACGACCGTTCCTATGACTTCAGAGTATGAGCATGCACACGGACGTCTTCCCACACTCAACGAGTTGGCTGTTCTCTACAATACAATTCCAGGCATTCTTCTCTCAGTATTCTTTTTGTAAATAGCACCTATATTCAAAGCTTTAATTGTCTGCTTCATGCACCATGAGGTGTAAGCTTTGTGTGTAAGAATTTATATCTCCTCTTAAATTTCCTGCTACCTACTGGATAGCAGGATATCCCACTGGTCCTTCAAAGTCAAAATGCTAGAAATTAATTATGTCTTTCCCTCCTGTGTCCCAAACTCCAGTTTCTTCTTTGTAATCCCCAAATTGGCTTATGGTAACAGCATCACCCAGCCAGTTGAGCTACAAAATAAATCACCAGGCTGTTCTTTCTCCTAACGCCCATCTGAATGGCTACCCGACCCTTCTGTTATTTAGCATTTCTTCCAGAGACCCCCTTCTCTATCTTTTATTCACCTTTCAGGGATCAGTCCTCACCAGATCAACTAAAACATCACCAGGGAGCTCTCAGTGTTTTTCTCTTCAAACCATATTCTTCTTTTTTTTTAATTTTTCCATAATTTTATTGATAAAAAATAGTGATGAGACAGTTTCAAACCAAATTGGTAGGACAGTTTCAATAATTAACACATTGCATACATTCTTCCTAGGGGTTATTTGCTGTACAAGATGCAGACGTGATATCCTATTTACAAACACCATTAGAACAAATCCCTCTATTCATTAAGAGAATGTAACTATATATCTATCCTAACCACTTTGAATACACAGATACAAAATGCACAGTCATCTGTATCCCCTTTTTTGTTTAGTTCTTCAAACCATATTCTTAACAACTGGAGAACCCTTCCTCCTCCAGTGCTGGGGATGGAACCTAGGACCTTCACTGAGTTATATCCATGGCTCTTCTCCCCTTTTAAAAAGTTATTATTTTGAGACAGTGTCTTGCTAAGTCACTATGCTGCCATGCAGGGTTAGGACGTGTGATCCTCCTGCCTTATCCTCCTACAGTGCCAGGATTATAGGTGTCTTCCCTACACCACACTTGTGTTCTATTTCTTTTTTCTGCCAACAGCACTACAGATTCATTAAAAGAGAAGCTGGGTGTGATGACCTGCTGTAATTAGGGGTAGTAAAGGCTGAGGACAGAGCGTAGCAGGTTTCATGCCAATCTGGACAACATGCAAGACACTGCCTCAGAATACAATTTTTTTTTAAAAAAAAAAAATGTATTTGGCACAGGGTCTCACCACACAGTTCCAACTTGCAGTGATCCTCCTATTTTCAGCCTCCCTAATGCTGGGATTATAGGCATGCGCCACCATGTCTGGACTTGGTTGCAGGCTCAGTGCACTCAGGGGTGAGGCCAGTGCAGCATGTGGTACCAGGGACCGAACTCCAGCCCCTGCGCTTGCCTAAGCAGGCACTTACTCCACTGAGCTATCTCACCAGGCCTTCAAAATACAACTTTAAAAGGCTGAGGGTGTATCTCACTGGTGACGTGGTCAGCGTATACAAGGCCCTGGGTTCGATTCCCCAGCACTGCAAGAAAAGAAAATGGAAATAGTAATATCCCATCCCCCCAGTTCGGTAGTGAGGATGTGACAGGAGTTTCTGAGAAGTAGGAATAGCGACAGTGGCGGTGATATCTCCTGTGCACAATCCAGAGGAAATGGGCAGCTCTGGGGGTGGCACATGTCAATAAAAAAAGTCACATCTAATTTCCACAGGAAAAACTTAACAGTACACACTTCAGACAACTCGCTAGTGACCTGTTTTGTGGAAACGACCACCTGGAGTCAGCGAAAACGACATGTGCTCCTTTGCTAGAGCCTATTAGTGTGACACTGCAGCACGGGGCTGTAGTAAAAAAATGACACCTAATATTTAAAGATGCCTGCTATGTGCAGGCCTCACAGAATTGTCACACCTGCTGTCTGATCATCCTCATCTTACAAGTGAAGAAACTGAGGCTCAGCTGGTACGCGATGTCTCCAGAGTCTCAGGAGGCTAGCAAGAGGTACTGCAAGGTCAAACCCAGACATGTGCATTGCCAGAATCTCCCTTCATGGCCATATTCTCGCGGAGTGTCCTCCAAAGCAAATTAGATGGAACAAAAATAAAGCACTAGCACACGCATGTGTACAGTTTTTCACTAAACAAGGTAGTAGACTAAACAGTCCTACTTCCATTTTGTGTTGCTCATTTTAATGCTAACAAAGTAGAAGGCAGAGAAGCAGCATTCTGGTCAGACTTTCTGACTCAGGACAGATGATGGCTTTTTGAGATTTATCTAGGTGTGTATTTTGCCCTTCTTTCTCGTCTCCTCAGTTGCAGTTCTGGATGTGACCGTGCGGGTCTCTCTGCCATGTGTACAGCGTCTTCTGCAGGACAGGACCCGCTGCTCACAAGCATGCTCGCTTTGCACAGCGCCTGTTTCAGCAAACGGCAGTGGCATGCTGTGGCCACGCTGGCCAGGAGACAGAGAGAGAAGCAGCTCTGAGCCAGTGTGAGAAACCCTGGGGTCTGCTATGCTGGCACAGGCCGTGATCTCGCCACCTGGCAGGCGGACGCAGGAGGATTGCCAGCTTGAGCCAAACTTGGGTGGACTTAGCAAGACCCTGTCTCAAGAAAAAGAGCCAGGGGCTTGGCTCAGTGTGTGAACCCTAGGTTCAATCCAGTACCATGAAAAAGCAAAGAAACACAAGTGTTCTTCACTTACAAAAGTGTGCCTCAAAAGATGCACTTAATAGGCCGGGGAGATGGCTCAGTAGAATAAGCGCTTCCCTGGCAAGTGCAAGGGCCTGAGTTTAATCCCCGGTTCCACAAAAAAAAAAATCTTTCTACAGAAAAAAAAAAAAAAAAAAAAAAAAGCACTTAATAATTACTTTATTTCAGATAAAGCAACCTGGCCAAAGGAGAGAAATAAAGTAATGTGTCTGAGTGCTATTATCTGTAAAACAAAATATTTAAATCACAAAAATGAGATGAGAGTCCTAGCCCAGGCCCGACCCTGCTACCCTGCTCTCCAGAATCATCGACCGGCAGGCAAGCAGAGACCCTTGACCTCTGCCATCCGTCACTCCCATGTATCGGCCGGGTGTTTCTTTTTCTTAAAAAAAAAAAAAAAAAAAGGATTCACTCAATTTAAATCAACAATGCAAATTTTGTCATTTTGAAAGAATCCCATGAAAAAAGCCATTGATTAAAAGAATTGTAGAGATGTATCACTGTCCATTGCTTTACAGGAATTTCATAGATACTGGGAAGAATATAATCTCCTGTAGAGGTTGGCTAAGCAACCTGTGATGAAATTAGAGGAAGAAATAAAATTGTCAACACTCATTAGAAACCAATAAAAAAAAGATGAAAATGAATGATTCCAATGGTAAATATAATTTTATTAATAAAAATTAGCTCTTAATATCTATTTATGACAGCTATTATATAGTTGCTCCCTGAAGCTCTTTTATTAATATGAGACTTGATAAATAAGGCCAATTTTTTTTTTTTTTTTTTTTTTTGGTGGAACCAGGGATTGAACTCAAGCCCTTGCGCTTGCCAGGGAAGTGCTTATTCCACTGAGCCATCTACCCGGCCCTATAAGGCCAATTTTTAAAACAAAAACACTAACATTGCGTGAAAAATTAAAATATAATTTGGCTACTAAATTCCATAAATAAATGCTTCCTCATCAGTGGAAAAAGTCAGTTAAATGACTAACACATTAAAAACGACATATAGGTACTTTTTTTTTTTTTTTTTTGCGGAACCAGGGATTGAACTCAGGCCCTTACGCTTGCCAGGGAAGCGCTTATTCCACTGAGCCATCTCCCCGGCCCTCCAACATATAGGTACTTGAAACATTATTTTAACCTAAAACAAATGCACACTCATTCGCTAGTTTCTGATCCAGGACTTTGTGGATTATTCTCTGGGTTAGCTGATGAGTTGTTAGGCAGATCTCCACGTGCAGATGTCACTTACAGTTTCCACTTTTTTATGAATAACAAGAACTTGTGAAACTATCAATATAGCAGCCTTTGAGATCATTACAACCTACTAAGTATTTTACAATTGCTTATGCCCATCTAGTTTGACAGGGAAAAAACCCTTTTTCTTGAATCTTTCCAAAACATTTAATTAGGTCAGACAGACACAACTGCTTTTCCTCACCTACATTTCATGAGTACATGTAATATTTTATTGATGTATGCAATTATAACAACAAACAGATCTATACACAGAACTCACTCCGACAAGTACTGTTCAGACAGTGGAGGCAGGCGTGTCCCAGCCAGCCACCTACTCCCAGCTTGCTTAGGACATGGGAGAGCCAGCAATTAAGGGAGTTTCTGAAGTTTAATGTAACTCTTCTACCTATTTGCTGATTAATTTTTGATTTTTTATGGGCCTGCATATACATGGATAGGACACTTTAATGTTTTTAATGGCAGATGTGAGACAGAATTACAATTATGAAGAA